CCTAAACATGTAGAAGATCTATATGAGGAAAGCCACGAGACGCGGATGAAAGGAATCCGGGGGCTAGCTAAAGAAGTAAATACACCAACAAATGTCCCCGGATAACAAGACCTGGCACTGTCAAGAGGCCGGTTCTTCCCAGATTCAGTGCAATCCCAGGGAAAATCTCAGCAAGTGATTTTGTGGCGTCAACAACCGTTTCTATGGAAAAGCAAAAGTCCCTGGACGGCCAACCCAGTACCAAGGACAAGGACAGCCGACGGAAACCCCAAGCCTCCAGACTTCTGCGGAACTACAGCCTTAGGACAGGGCGGGCGGGTGCAGCACAGAGCTGGACGGGGGCTCAGAAACAGACCCACAGCCAGCTGACCCCCCCCCCCAGTGCCCACAGTCAGCAGAGGAGCCAAAGGCGACTCGCACCAGCGGCAGGCTCCGTGAGAGACTGAGCCGCTGAGCCCCGTTACAACCCAGGGAATGAGAAGACGCACACAGCCCGGGAGAGGGCATTCGTAAACTTGCTGTCTGATGAAAGACTTCTAACACACAGACTCCTAAAAGCTGACAGCTAGAAAACAAACAGCCTAATTAAAGCAGTCAAAGGCTTAATCACTTCCCCCAGCTAAAATAAGGATCCAGGACAGATCACATAGAAACACGCTTCCCACACGTGGCTCAGCTCACACGTCTGCAGCACCCTCTCTGGGAGACAGGACGTCCACAGAGGAGGTTCAGTATCACCAAGCTTTGTGTTTTCACATCAAGTCCAGGTTTTCTGTTGCGGAAAGGTCACACGAATCCACAACAGGAAAAAGGGGTGCGCCAGGCGGCGCCGGGGACCCCTCGGTGGAGCCGGATTGCGGGGCCTGGCGGGAGGTGCTGTGCCGTCAGGACCGTGCCTCCCGCCGCAGCCCTCAGGCTTCTGCAGGCTCCGCTCTGTTCTGTGCCAGCTCTGCTGGGAGCCTGGGCCACGGATGGCCGCCGGGGCACTTCCAAGGGGGCAGAGCGGCCCAAGGCGGCGAGCCGGGAACAAGGTCCATGGTGTGTGCTGGGACCGTGGCTTTGCGAGGAGCCCACCAGCACCGGTCCTCAGCGAGGCTGGGAGCTCCGTGGGAAGCCTGCCCTGGGCACCTGCCGGGGCTGCGTCCCCTTCTGGAGCAGTCACACCTGGCAGATGACAGCTGTGCAGCCTGAGGGACCCCCGGGGCAGAGGAGCCAGGCGCTGGGGCAGGGGATCCGACCCGGAGCTCAGCAGGTACAGGCGTTTTTTACTCATTTATTTATTTGAGAAGAGAGTTGGGGTAGAGATAAAGGGAGAGACACCCCCCACCCTCCGATTCCCTCCCCAAATGCCCACAACAGTGAGGGCTGACCGTGAAGGGTGGGCAGGGGTCTCCCCCACCCCTCCCGTGGGCTCAGATTAGCCGAGGTTAATGCAGCGTCCAGCAGGCCCGGGCCCCAGGCTTTGGTCAGGGAGGCAGCCTGGGTCTCCCCGTGTGACACACGAGGCTGAGAACTGACTCCTGCACTTCCCGGCCCAGGCACGGCACCCTGCGCAGGACACTGGCGGCCCAGGGCTGTCAGACCCAGGGCGCGGCTGACCACTTCCCTGCTGGCCCGCAGCAGCCCCCCACCGCTGCTGACCACTTCCCCCGTGACACCCCCGTGCGTCTGTCGGCTGAGAGCCAGGGCCCTGGTGCAGAGGACACGTCCAGTGTCTGCAGATCTGGCCTGGGATCGAGGCACAGCAGAGCTAGGTCCACTCAGCCTCATTTCAAGTCTTTACAGAGGGAGACTCCTTTAGGAGAGGAAGGGGAGGGCAGAGGGCAATGGGCGGCGACACCCAGACCACCTTGGGCGGCGGCCAGCGGAACCTCTGTACAGATGGGGAGAGCAGGCCAGGAGGAAGAGGGGCTCTCCCCGGGGTGCCAGGGCCACTTTACCGTGGCCAAGCAGATGCGGCCAGCCTCCCTGGGGCTGCTCGGCCCCTCCTCACCAGGTGCCCCCCCCACCTCCCTGTGGCTCTTTTTAAACCTTTGGAGAGTTCAAAGGTCAAACTGGAAGGCTTCCCACAGTGAGGTAAACCCGCAGGTTTCCAGCCAGAGGGTCTGTAACCGCCCGGGGAAGTCGGCCCTCTGGACTGTCGTCCTGATCGGCGAGCTGACCTCCGGGAGGCGCTCCATCCCGGGCCGCGAGCAGCCGGAACGCTCCCCGCCCCGCGGTTTCTCACCCACGGCACTGTGCACGCGCCTCAGGCAGGCCTGGGCAGGAGTGTGGACAGAACATCCCAGTGAGGGAAAGGCGGGATTAACCCTCAGGACCCTGGCCTCAGACAGAGCTCGGCCCGCGCCGTCCCAGACACCTGTCCATCCAGGCGGTCCGTCCATCCAGGGCAGCTGGTCTGTCCAAGGGCCCGTCCGCCTGCTGCCCGACCACTGTCCACAGAGTGTCAGCAGGCTCCACACGGCTCTGACATGGTCCCCATATGGCCCCACACGGCTCCCACATAGTCCCACACGGCCCCACACGGCTCCACACAGCATGGCCCCCACATGGTCCACACGGCCTCCACATAGCACGGCCCCTGCACGGCCCCCACATGGCCCCACACGGCTCCACACAGCCCCGCAGGGCTCCACACAGCACGGCCCCACACGGCCGCCTGCCAACCCGGGGGAGGCTGGGCATGCTTGCTCTGACATCCCTGTCTTCCACGCGTGTTCTCGGGACCTGGCAAGCCCTGGTCGGAACGCCCCGGCACGGTTACTGTGAGGTTTGCCAACTCAGAGTGGGTTTCCTCAAAGCAAAGTTTGCACAGCCGGCTGGGGTGGAGCTGAGGCTGAGGGGGCGCAGGTGCCCTGTGCTGGCCGCAGTCCTGGGACCCCTAGAGGACTCCTCCAAGGGAGAGACCCTGACCCTTGGACCCGGCCGTGGAGTGGGGCAGGCGTGGGGACGAGGGGGACCCGGCCTGGAGCGGGGCAGGCGTGGGGACGAGGGGGACCCGGCCTGGAGCGGGGCAGGCGTGGGGACGAGGGGGACCCGGCCTGGAGCGGGGCAGGCGTGGGGACGAGGGGGACCCGGCCTGGAGCGGGGCAGGCGTGGGGACGAGGGGGACCCGGCCTGGAGCGGGGCAGGCTGGGGACGAGGGGGACCCGGCCTGGAGCGGGGCAGGCTGGGGACGAGGGGGACCCGGCCTGGAGCGGGGCAGGCGTGGGGACGAGGGGGACCCTGCCGGGCCACAGGCAGGGGCGTCGGGTCAGACCCGAGATGAGAAGCCAGCGCCTCCCACAGGCAGAGGCCACGTGGCCTGCTAGGGAGCTCAGTGCTCGGTGGCCAAGCGACCTCAGAGCTGTGGGCGCTGGCTCCCCACTGACCCTTCTTCCGCACAAGTGTGACCCCGAAATCCCTTTTGGAGCAGATGAGCAGAAACGACCCAGCCAGCCAGGGCACCCCCCCCCCCGACACCTGTGCCCTTCCCCCACGGCCTCAGAGAAGCGGCGTAAAACAGAGCGCAGAGGCGTGCGCGTGCGCGAAAGCCCTCTTCAACAGCGTGACCGCGAGGCCGACGCGCGCCTGCGCCCGCCGTGCCCTCGACCACAGCAGCGCCGGCAGCTCCCGCGGACGCTGGATTTTCAGACCTTTGCAGCACCTGCAGGGTGGCACGAAACCACGATTTCTGGGCACACGAGATTCACCCGCCGCCAAAGAAATGCCAGGCTTCCTTGGAGGCCCTGACCCTGCCCTGAGCCGGGTCCCGGCAGCCCTCGGCAGGGGGACTCAGGCCCCAGACGGCTCAGGAGGGGACCCCGACAGCCCCTGGGCGGAGCTCTGCTGCTCAGGCCCCAGCCCCCCCAGGATGCTCCCCCCAAGATGCCCCTCAGGATGCCCCCCCAAGGAGGCTCTGGCAGGCCCAGGGCTCACCTCCTGAGGGGCAGCCTGACTGCTGATGGGGCCTGACCCCTCCCACGCACTCAGCAGCCACTCCAGGCCCCCGAGGCAGTGTGCACCCAGGAGGAGGCCATGAGCCTCAGGCCCAGGCCCCACCCCAGGGCTCTCTCTTGTTGAAGCAGAGACCAGTGGCCAGGGCGTGGCCTGTCCGCCCACTTCCCCAGGACACAGTGCTCTCAGCCCTGACCGTCCCACATCCCAGGAAGCCCTCTTGTCAGACCCCTGGGCCGTCCAAGTGCCTTCAGGGGGGCTGGCCGTGTGGTGGGTGACCCAGCAGGCAGTAGACAGAGCACACACAGGAGCCAGGCGAGGTCCTGGCTCTGCCTCTCTGGAGCCGCAGGCGCGGCCGCTCACCGAGAGGCATCACGCAGCAAGAGGTGCCCCCCCCCCCCCGCCCCGGTCAGGTCAGCTCCAGGGCAGGAGACGCCCACCCATGCCCCCGGGTCAGAGCCAGCAACCCTCCCCGGCTCTCCCTGGCTCTCTGGCCCCCGGTTCTGGGAGAAATGCGACGGGGGAGGGGCGTGTTTCCACACCAGAGGTGCCTGGTCAGCATGCACTCGGCCCCCTGGCCTGTGGGCAGCGCGCCCCGGGCTGTGCGTCCGGCAGCCAAGCACCCCTCCCGGAAAGGGGCTCAAGCGCCATTTCCTAAGACCCCTACCTCTGGGAAACGCCCCTCCCCGGGGTGACTCCACCAACCTTCCAGGGGCCCCTGGGGCCCTGGGCCCTGTGGCCCGACCCCCTCAGTGCCCAGTCAGGCTTATCACAGGACTCGGGCCCCCAGGGAGCCGGGCGGAGTTCACGGGGGTCAGGCCGCCGTCCGTTTGCATTCCAGGGGCCGTGGGTCCAGGCGCGGCTGGGGCGGGAGGGAGTGAAGGCTGGGATCTAATGACATTTCCCTTCCCTGAGTCCGCCGATCGCACGCTAAGAGCTACTCTCCCTCAATCACGCTCAGCCTCCAAGTCCTCTCCACCACGCACCTCTCGGAGATGCGCACATCTTTCCAAATTAGCCCTGAGCTGAGAGCGAGACAGCGAGAGTTGTGCTAATTTACTTACCCCAGCCGCGAAGCCAGCGCCAGGCTCGCATTTGCTTCCCGCGAGCCAGCATTCATTAAGTGTGGAGGACGTTCCGGGCCTCAGGGACACATCCTGCTGCCCACTCGGTCTCGCAGCCTCTGAGGTCAGAGACAGGAAACAGGGTGCAGCTCCCGCCCCTCCAGCGCCACGGGAGGCTCCACTCCCACGCCAGCTCTCAGCACCTGTTACAGCAACACGCAGGCCGCCTGCAGTGCCTGCTCCCGATCCAAAGAACCAGGAGGCTTTTCAGAGCCAGGGGCACGGGTGCTGACAACCACGCCTGCGACGTGCGGGGCCTCGAGCCCGCCCACCTGGCCCCCAGCCTGGCCACAGCGGCGCTCCTGGGCCGCTCCAGGTTCAGAGGCGCGGGGTGTTGGGGCCCCCTGCAGATTCCTTCAGAAACCTTTGAGTGTGGTCTGGGAACTTCCTTCCGCTGCACTTCCATGCCGGGAGCTGCCCCCTCGGGCACGGGGCCATGCTGTGTGTCGGAGGCCCCACTCGGTCCACCCTGAGACACGGATGCGCAGATGCCCACGGGGGCAGGGAGGCCTGCAGAGGACAGTGGCCGTGCCGCTAGCTCAGGAGCCTAAAGCAGGAACAGGCAGGCAAAGAGCCCAAGAGGGAGACAGGCATGGAGGGAAAGCCAGGGGCACCGCGGCGGCCTGGGGAGGCGAGCGGCCAGCCCCCGGCACCCGGCACCCAGCACCGCGCAGGCCAGGCCCCACGCGGGTTCCCGGCGTCTGAGCGAGCGCGGCTCAGATTCTCCTTCAGTGAAGGGCACAGGGCACTGCCCGTGGGGTTCACCCACTCAGGAAAAGTCCTGGTCATGGCCCCCAGTGTCCCCCAAAAGGAGAGGCCCACGTAACAGGGCGGCTGTGACGGGAACACCTGTCCACATGACCTGGGGTCCATCGGGTCACAGGGTACAGGGCTCCCACACAACCTGGCTCACAGGCACCCCTGTTCTCTGACAGCCCGCTGAGCCCCGGGGCCGTCCTCCTGCAGTGTGGGGAGTGCTGGCGGGGGAGGGGCTGTCAGCCCGCCAGGTGCGCTCTGAGTGTGCGCTTCCAAGCATGTGTCTGCGACAGAGTGCGCTCCCCTTGTCCACTCACCAGATGCCCCGATGGCCAGGGGACCCAGGGAGCTGGTGCTCAGTCCCGGTCTCCCACGTGAGTGGCAGGGCACCTCCCAGGGTGCCCACTGGCTGGCAGCTGGGGTTAGGAGCTCTGAACCCCAGGCCATCTGATGGGGTCTGGGCCAGGGGCCGGCGCCCGGGATGCTGGGCAGCTCCGCTGGGGGCTGAGTTCAGCCTGGAGCCCACGTGCCCCGAGGTCCTTCCCTGTGTAGAAGCAGCTGCCAGCCATGCCCCTTCCATCTGGCCCTCACCCTGACCCACTCCGCCAAGTGGCCAGCTCTCAGGAGCCGCAGGGTGGAGGAGGCCCAGGCCAGGGGTGGCCAGTGCAGCCCAGCCTGGCCAGTGAGGGCCCAGGAAGTCCAAGCACCCATCGTGCCCTCGGGGTGCCAGCCACACCCCAGAGCCACCCAGGGGTCTCCTCGGACTGGCCCACAGACGCCCTCACACTCAGGGCAGGGCGCCCCCCCAGAATGGCCCATGGACACCCCTATCACTCAGGGCAGAACCCCCCCAGAGTGGCCCATGGATGCTCCTCACACTCAGGGCAGGGTGCCCCCCCAGAATGGCCCACAGATGCCCCTCACACTCAGAGCAGGGTGCCCCCCCAGAGTGGCCCATGGACACCCCTCACACTCAGGGCAGGGCGCCCCTCCAGAATGGCCCGTGGATACCCCTATCACTCAGGGCAGAGCCCCCCAGAGTAGCCCACGGATGCCCTCACACTGAGGGCAGGGCCCCCTCAGAATGGCCCATGGACACCCCTATCACTCAGGGCAGAACCCCCCCAGAGTGGCCCACGGACACCCCTCGCACTCATGGCAGGGCCCCCCCAGAGTGGCCGTCTGCCCTGAGAGGAAAGGGCTCAGCTAGTTGTGTGGACGACTGGGCGTTTGTCCCTGTAGAGAAACAGAGCAGCGCCCGAGAGCAGGTGTGGACCCCCCGGCAGCGTGGCGGGTGCCTGGGGGCTGGCACTGTTGGCTGTGGCGCCCTGCCTCTGTCGAGGGCCGCAGCTGCACACCAGGAGGGGCCGGAGCTGCCCCTGATCTTGCCAGGACCCTCAGCAGCAGGGAGAGCGGGGACCACTGGTCCATTGCCGACAGCCTCTGTCAGTCCTCCCTGTGCACTGACCGGCACGGCAGTCGAGGACCCGGCCACCTTCACGCCAGGACTCGCGGCCAGAGAGTGGGGAGGAGCTGTGGGGAGGAGCCCTGTGCGGCCCCCACCCCATGCCGGGAGACAGTGGCTCTTAGTTGTGGGATGCCAGCAGCCATGGCCCTGAGACAGCCACTCTCCCCAGAAGAACAGCCAACAGGTGGCCAAGGACAAGGCCAGATCTGCAGGACGCTGGACATGGCTGAGGGGTCCAGAGATGTGGACCACTCAAAGTGGCCAAGAACTCACCAGGTGACCGCCAGCCAGGCAGCCACAGCCCTCTCGACCTGAGCAAAGCAAAGGACACAGAACTATAAAAGTCAGATCTCAACTCTTAAACAAGAACATACATTTTTTAAATGAGCGTGTAAAAAGAGACTATAAATGAGCAGGTGTATTTTAAAAATAGCAGAAAGTTTACAAATGAAAAAACTGTAACCTGAGTGAAATCTCAGAGAAGGAGTTAGACAATAGGTTTCCTGCTCGCCTGCCACTCCCACTGTCCTCCCATGTATGACTGCAGCTGTGCCCATTCCACACGGGGCCACATGGGGCCACACGGGGCCACACGGGGCCACAGAGGACCACACGGGGCCACATGGGGCCACACGGGGCCACACGGGGTTACACGGGACCACACAGGGTTACACAGGGCCACACAGGGCCACACAGGACCACACGGGGCAACACAGGACCATACAGGGCACCATGGGGCCACACGGGGCCACACAGGGTCACACAGGGCAACATGGGGCCACATGGGGTCACACGGGGCCACACAGGGCCACATGGGACCACACAGGGTCACACGGGACCACATGGGGCAACATAGGACCATACAGGGCAACATGGGGCCACACAGGACCACATGGGGCAACATGGGGTCACACGGGATCACACAGGACTACACAGGGCAACATGGGGCCACATGGGGTCACACGGGGCCACATGGGGCCACACGGGGTCACACGGGACCACACAGGGTCACACGGGGCCACATGGGGCAACACAGGACCATACAGGGCCACATGGGGACACACAGGGTCACACAAGGCAACATGGGGCCACACAGGACCACACAGGGCCACACGAGGTCACATGGGGCCACATGGGGTCACATGGGACCACATGGGGCCACATGGGGCCACACGGGGTCACACGGGGCCACACAGGGTCACACAAGGCAACATGGGGCCACACAGGGTCACACAAGGCAACATGGGGCCACACAGGACCACATGGGGCAACATGGGGTCACACGGGATCACACAGGGCAACATGGGGCCACACAGGGTCACACAGGGCCACACAGGGCAACATGGGGCCACACAGGACAACATAGGACCACATGGGACAACACAGGGTCACTCAGGGTCTCACAGGGCCACATGGGGCCGCATGGGACAACACAGCATCACACAAGACACAGTGCCACATGGGGGTCATATAGGGCCACACGGGGTCATAGGGGGCCGCGCAGGTCTCAGGCAGAGCGGTACACAGGTACTGGCCCCAGAGCAGAGCCACTGAGCCTGGAAACGGATTTCTGAGAATCGCACGGCAAGCACTGAACCCCACGGAAGTCACTCGGTGTCGAGGGCTGCAGGCTGCAGGCCGGAGCTCACTTCCCTGGCACTCGCCGCCCTTCCTGGGGGCCCCTCGGCCTGGGGTGGGAGCAGCCGGCAGGTCCTGGGCCCCGGAGGAGGGTACGGAGTAATCTAGCCTTTGGTAAAACACAGCTATTTCCTCCTGGGGAGGAGAGCCCATGTGCCTGGGTATGACAGTCCCATGACCATAGCATGTTAGTGTGGTGGTAGTATGCCACAACAGCTGTGTGTGCCATGGCAGTGGCATGACATTAACATGATGTTGGCGTGGCTGTGGTGTGCCGCTGGCGTGACCATGGTGTGATGGTAGCATGAGAGTAGCATGGTCCTGCCCAGCCTCCCGCTGACAATTTAGTGCCCAGTGAGCCCTGGCCACGAGCCACGCCAGCCCAGTTCAGAGAGGAGCTCCGAGGGTGGCAGTGCCCCCACCCCACCCCACCCGTCTCCTCTGCTCCCACACGAGCAGCCGCCCGCTGCTCTGCCAGCACCCACGCCCCTGGGGCCCGAACACGCCTCCCGTGGACCCAGCTTCACAGGTGGGGAGCCGCCAGCCGTGCAGAGGAGGCGGGGCTCTGTCTGCGGCAGCACCAGGTGTCATTTATTTGTCTTCTCTTGGGTGCTGGGGCTCCTGTGGTGGCAGCAGTGGCGGCGCTGCTGGTCAGTCTCCCACGAGACCCTCAGAGTGACAGACACAGTGAATTCCACTCAGAGTCCTTGGGGGCCGGCATGGAGGCGCCGACCACCTGCTGGGCCAGCATCCATTTGGGAGCATTGAGTCCCGGCCGCTCCACATCCGATCCAGCTCCCTGCTAATGCACCTGCGACAGCAGTGGAGGACGGCCCAAGTGCTTGGGCACCTGCCCCCACACGGGAGACCTGGATGGGATTCGTGGCTCCGCTCCAGCTGAGTGAACCAGCGGATGGAAGATCTTGCCCTGCCTGTGTCACTCTGTCATTCAAATAAATGAAATAAATCTTTGGGGCCGGTGCTGCGGCTCACTAGGCTAATCCTCCGCCTGCGGCGCCGGCACACCGGGTTCTAGTCCCGGTCGGGGCGCCGGATTCTGTCCCGGTTGCTCCTCTTCCAGTCCAGCTCTCTGCTGTGGCCCGGAAGGGCAGTGGAGGATGGCCCAAGTGCTTGGGCCCTGCACCAGCATGGGAGACCAGGAGGAGGCACCTAGCTCCTGGCTTCGGATTGGTGCGATGCAAAGGGGAGTGAACCAACAGAAGGAAGACCTTTCTCTCTGTCTCTCTCTCACTGTCCACTCTGCCTGTCAAAAAAAGAAAAAGAAGTAAATCTTTGAAAACTGCCCTCTGTGA